GAAAACACCCACTTCCCAGGCTGCTGGAGCCCAGCCTGCCCCCCATCCCACCCGCCTGGAAAGGGACAGGGCAGCAGGCTTCACTACCAGGTACCTGACAGACCCCCTCCCGGGAGGGGCAAGGTAGCCAGGGCCCCGCGGGGGGAGGAGTCTGGGTGACTTTGGTGGGGGCCCATGAAGTTCTGGAAGTTGAGCTGCGTCCGGAGCAGCTTGCCCCCCCCCCCACCAGGCTGGGGGTCCCCTGTCCCCCTCTCCTCCCCTCATCTCAAGTGAGCCAAGGCATAAAGTGTGGGGGCCCCCTTGGGGAAGGGTATTAGGGTTCACTGTTCAAAAGGGGGGTGTCTGCCCCCCTCGCCACAGGACCTGCAGGGGTTGGAGTGTGTGTGAACCACCAACTCATGCTGAGACACTGGGGGGCTGCGTGGTATCTCCCCCCCCCCCAACCCTGTGCCTGTCCCTTTGTCCCTGCCCTTGGGATCGGCTGGGAGTGAGCCAACAGGATTAGAAGGGCGGGGGGGGGTCAGAGCAGTAAACAAGGGGGCTCCCAGGCGCAGGGTCCGTAGGTCTGGGGAGAGACAGAGGGACGAGCTGGGGGGCTGCATTGCAGGGCTGAGATCCTGGGGTGGGGGGAAGGAGCCCTGACAGTTTGTGCAAAGCCCTGAGCCAAGACCCCTCAGCTAGGACAAAAGGCCAGTGCAGCACGCCAGGACCTCTGGGGCTGGGGGGCGGCGGGGGGACCGGCCCCGCTGAATGCAGAGTTCTGATTCTCCTCCAGGCCTGGCCCATGCTAGCCACGGGACCCGAGGTACCGACCTGGCAGTGCGGTTTACTGGGTCGGCTTCCTGGCCCCCATCCTGTGGCGTTGATATTTTGGGGGTGGGTAGGACCAGCTGGAAACCTGCCCCCCTCCCTCGCTGCCAGGCAGAGCTGACCTGGATGGGGCTGTGCGGTTTGGATGGGGCTCACGTGGGGTGTTGTGCGTGGAACACCCCTTGCTGCAGCTTTAATGCTGGCCTAGGGTGCAGGAGCCCAGCCCCGCTTGGCCGTGGTCCTTGCTCAGAGGAGGAGCCCTCCTGCTTCAGGCGGTGATCCCTGGGGGCAGGTTATCCCATCACTGCAGGGGTCGGGCCCCTTTCTCTGCAGCACTTGCTGTTGGCCACTGGCAGAGACAGGATACTGGGCTAGGTGGGCCCCGGTTCTGATCCGATCTGGCAGTCCCTGCTCATAGGTGGACTCTTCTTTTAAAAATCCCTTCCTTGGAAAACGGTTTGTTACAATTGCAAAGCGTTTGTGGGGGGTGGGCAGAACAGGCTTGTGCCTCAGTTTCCCCATGTGTAAACCGGGGGGGATAATCCCAACATCGTCTGAGGTTGTGTGCTGAGACGTGCGGGGTGGCTAGAATGGGGAAGCTGGGGCTGGCGGAGCGCAGGATCCCCTCATTGTCCGGGGTCGATTCTCTCCCCATCGCCGGGGTTTGGTTTCCGCGAAGGGAGCCAGCGCTGCGGTTGTTTGAAAGGAAACCCTGCTGACCTAGAGAGGAGGGAAGCAAGCCCTGGAGCTAATCACGGAGCTTTTCCCGTATGATGGGCCTGTGGAACTCATGGCCACCTGGGGTCAGCGAGCCAGAGAGCTCAGCGGGATTCAGAAAGCGTTGACGTGGCTCACAGGAGCACCTGCAGCTCGGCCCACGGCCTGTAGAAACCCAAGCGTTAATCCACCAGCCCCTGACGGGTGGGCGGGGCAGTCGGACGCTTCCCCACCCGTGACTCAGGCGTTCCTGTCTCCGAAGCATGGGGCCTAGTGGTCAGGGCGCTGGAGTTGGCATTGGCATCCCTGGGTTCGATCCCACCACTGCTCTGCCGGGTGAAGTCACTTCGGCTGCCCCACGCTCTGGGGCTGTGCCGTAGCGAGGGCAAGGGGCTCGTTCCAGGGGAGGTGAGAGAGGCCCACGGGGAGAGAGCAGCTGGTGCCGGTTCCGAGTTGCTCCTCAACCTGGAGTTTTGCTTTTCCCAGCGGATCTTTCCTGCCCGGGGTGGGGTGGGCTCTCGCCTGGCTTCTTCCCGACAATCGATCCGGCAGGATCCAGCCAGGGAACGTGGATGGGGGTGCCGCCTGATGTGCTGCCGTGGAGCTCCTGGACCCCGGGGCACTGGCTGGGGCCGGGGCTGTCGGGCTGGGCTGGGGACAGAGGATTCCTGGCCGTGCAGGGGCAGCGGGTAGAGCCCCTGGTGTCCGGGCCCCCTTGCCTGGGTGCCCTGGGAGAGCAGGGGATAGCGCTGGGGGTGAGTTTCAAACCCTTGACGGGCGGTGCCGGGTCCTGGGCGAAGGCTGCGTCTGTGGCAGGAGCCGGCGTCTCTTATAAAGCCCAGCATGGGCGCACTGAAGGCCCCGGAGCGGGACATCGGAGCCCTGGCCTGCAGACGGGAGCCTCTCCTGGGCTCGTTGGGAGCCGGGGCTGAAGGGATCTGCCTGGGCCGCCTGGGATGGGCCATGGCGAGGTCAGAGCGGGGCTGGAAACGCCTGGTTGGGATCTGGCTCCGGCACTGACTCAGGCTTCGTCCGGGCTGGAGTCCCAGCTGCGTGGGCCGTGGCCGAGGAAGGGGGAGGCTCCCCCCTCCCCCCGGGTTAACAGGGGCAGCTCGGCGGGGGCTGCTGGCCAGCCGCTTTGTCCTGGCGAGATTTTAGAAGGTGCTAATTAGACCCGAGTGGGTAGCTGCCCTTTGATCCCCCGTCTAGACCAGGCCCCCGTGTCAGGCTGCAGCTGGCTCGTCCGCGCTGGGGAGCGCGCTGCAGCCGGCGAAGGGCCCCCCGTTCCGGAACAGGAGCGTCCCCTCGGAGCAGCTGTTCCGGAGAACTTCCGAGCCCAGACAAGCCCTGACTCCCAGTGCAGACGAGGCCTCGCTCTGCAGCCTGCACAGGTCCCTGCCCTGCTCTGTGCCTCAGTTTCCCCATGTGTGGAATGGAGATGAGGGGCGGCTGTGGCTAGCGAAGGGCTTGGCACTGACTTAGCTCACGTCCCTCCTGCAGTCTCAGAACTGGGGGGTCCCCCGCCCCATCCCCACCACAGGCTCACTGGTGGAGCAGGGGAGACGGCCCAGTTCCCAGGGGATGGAGGGAAGCTCGAGATGGGCACTGGGCGAGGCTGCAGCGGAGGCGCGTGCCTCCTTCTTGTAGCAGCGCCGACAGCTGGGGTCCCCCAGGGCACCGTCTCAGGGGCATCACTTGTGGGCAGAAGCCCAGCGGGTGACTGGGCA